TGTGCTGTGAAGTCCGTGGTTGCTCCTGGCCCTCCTACATGGGGCCCAATTTTGAAAAGCAATCAGCTGTATGCGAGTCTGTATCAACAGTCATGGCAGAGTGCTAGGCAGTGTCTGCATCTCATACTCGGCTCCTCTCCTAGCCTTCCGGTTTCCTCCCCAACCATGCCTGACCTTCTCCCTCCCCTGTTTCCTTCTCCATCTGCCTCTCACTCCTGTCTTCTCTGCTGTTTTGAGACAGGGTCTCACTATGTAGCCAGGCTGGTGGTGAACTTGTGGTGCACCACTATGCCTGGCTTCCGGTGTTCATTTTTAAATATGGTATTAGCACCACCTCAAGAGATTACTATGTAGATTACATGCCAACACCACGCAAACATAGCGGAACCAAGGATGCAAAAACTGCTCAGAGACACTCACCATTATCACCAGTACTGCTATGCTGCTGCTCCTCTGCGTGTCCAGCATGTGGCAGGCCATTTACCAGCAGGATTTAGGGGGACCTTGTACTTGTTTCGTCCTGCTTCAAATTTTTTGCCTAAGCTACTAATTTTAGAATGTCTTCTTTCTTTTTTTAATGTTATATATATATATTTTTTGAGCTGGAGAATCTAGGTTTGATTCTGAGTGCCAGAAAGCACTAGTTATATAACCACACCGCTAGTGTAGGAGATTGAGGGTTATGATGTCTGAGAATGAAAAGTCCTCTTTTTTCCTTTTTTCCCCCTTTTTTGAGACACAGACTTGCTATGTAGTTTAGGTTGGCCTAGAACTGGCAGCAATCCTCTAGCCCTAGCCTCCCGAATGCTGGGATTATAGGCCTGAGCCTTCACACCCAGCAAGCTCCTGGTGTAAGCACTCTTTTGCTTATTACTTATGTCATCCTTGCAAATTGCTTATGTTCCATAATATCAGATTCATCCATGTCAGAGGTGACAAAAATAACAGAATGCAGGTGATCACATCTAATTTTTGTAGCATCTTAACTTTCAAGCCAGATGCTTTCTGTGAAAAACATAAATCTATTCAAACTCTTATCTCACAATCATGAACTTTCAGAACCCTTATCTCTGTTTTTCTCACATCGGACAGGAGAGCAGCAGCACCGTGAGCTGGGAGCACAGGAGGAGCGCGCGTCCTCTGCTGCCATGAGTCTGGCCAACGTGGGCTCCCTGAGTAGGCAGTGACAGCACTGGGTGTCCCCTGCCCGCAAGGCTTTGAAGTGTCCTGTGGGGAGCTCACTGTGAGGGAAGACACCCGGGGCATTGTGGGCGAAGGACCCTGGGACAACCCCAGTCCCTGGCTGCTGTGGGAAAATTGGAAGTTGCTGATTGATTTCATGAGTCCCCAGTGGGACTGAAGTCCCTTTGTCCATGGTAGTAACTGGCCAGAAGTGTAACCTTTACTGGCTTCTCCTTGGCTGACTCCACTCCCTCATTTTCGCTTTCTGGAATCCTCCTCCAAATAGAGCCTGAAATTTAAAGGTGCACGCAGAGGATGCATGATCAGGAATCGCATCATGTGCACAAGGCGCACTGCTGTCTGCGCTGACTGCACGCCACACTAGGGCTGTATACCTACTTGGCCTGCAGGCTGAGGAAGCTCTCAGATATGCGGCCTTGATCTAGGAAGGCGCTACCAGTACACCTCTATGCCTGGGCTCTGACGAAGCCTTGAACTGACTGAATCAACTCCAGCGACTCTCTCAGATTCTGCCGGCATAAATGCCATTCAAACCAAAATCTAGTCAACATTCACCAAGTGCCAACCATTTATGCCCACTATGATGCTACACACATACCGACATTTGTGTCCTTAAGCTACAGAAGTGTGCACAAAGGCACCAATAGCATAGTTTGTATTCTATGTAGTAAGACATGTCTCAGAAGAACACATTCAGAGAGGGTTTGTCATAACTGATAAATGATGAAGGCAAGAAAAGAACCCCAGGAAGGTGGTGACACAGGATAACAACCTAACAAAGAGATATTCAAATGAGATTAACTTCTATCAGGACATTTTGAACAAACTTTCCACCAGGGTTAGAGTTCATTTTATTTTTTTGGTGGAAATGGAGATTGAACTCAGGCCTTTGCACTTGCCAGGGAAGAATTTATTCCACTGAGCCATCTCCCTGGCCCTAGAGTTCATTTTAGTAGTGAGAGAATTCTAAGCCTGCTGATGAGATTTAATTTACTAAGCGTTAAGGGAAAGAATTTTCTTTTCTTTCTTTTTTTTTTGGAACCAGGGATTGAACTCAGGCCCTTGTGCTTGCCAGGGAAGCGCTTATTCTACTGAGCCATCTCCTTGGCCCAGAATTTTCTAAAATTGAAATTTCAGTTGGGTGTGATGGCACATCCCTGTAATCCCAGCACTTGGGAGGTTGAAGCAGGAGGACTGCCATGAGTTTGAGACCAGCCTGGGCTGTAAAACGAGACCCTGTCTCAAGAAAAAAAAAAAAAAAAAAAAATTCATGGAGACCCTAAACCAGTACACAGCTGTCATCTGCAGCAGAAGGGCCCAGCATTCTGACTGGATCCTAGGACACTGAACCGCAGAGTTACTGTTGCAACCCAGCAACTGTGTCCTTGTAGTTTATATTTTTTATCCCTGTGCTTCCTTTCTGACTATATTATAAAAATCCATGAAGAGTTAAGTCCTCACAACTCTGCTAAGACTCGGACTTGAGTTCTAGGTCTCTGATTTATTAGCTTTGTAACACTGGGGAAGTCATTCTGCTGAATCACTCACCAAATCTTTAATGCATACCCCATAGTGCTGGATGCCAGAGCAACCCAGACGAATGAGCCATGGTTTCTGATTTTAAGGACTTCACAATAGAAAAAGTACACAATGTCTGAAAACATAATTAAAAGACTCAGAAGACCAAGGAAACAACAGTGCTTTACAACAGGAATAGAAACAAAAAACTAGACTTTTTAAAACTTTTTGAGCACCTTACTACCATATATAT